GTTGTGCTGACCTCTCCTGTGGTGCCTCTCTGGTTTCAGTGTCGCTGACCCCAGACCTCTCTCTCTTCACTTGTCTGTTATCTTGCCCTACCTGGAGTCATTGGGCCTCATGCAAGAACTGTTCATATGAGCAAATTCGTTCTGATCTCGTTCTTACGAGTGATTTGGAAGAAATTGCTGCATTCCCAATTTTTCCCCTATTTTCTCTCATATGAACTTATTTTATGAGTGCTCCAGACTTGACATAGGAGCAGGTCAGCTGTCCAAATCTAGTTTTTCACTAAATGACTACATTTTTTTTTCTTAGCCATTTTATTGGCCTGCTTCACTATATATTATGCGATTATGAATTAAAAACGTATGAGTTGGTCAATACTTGCAGCTGACGTGTCAGTCTCCAGGGAACACTGGTTTAATTTCTTATCATTTTGTCAATAGAAAGAACAGTCAGAGATCCAACTACTATTGAAATAACATCTGGAACAGAAAATAGTTCAGCAAAACTCCAATTTCACTCGCTGGCAGCTCATTGGCTTTGTTATTACACCAACTGTGAAATATTTGGGTTTGGGTCTGTCTGACGTTGTTAAATTAGAGTTTAAAAGTTAACATTGATATTTTTATGCGTTGTAAGAGAGATGGAGAGTACAATGAAGGACGATCTGGAGATGTGCAGTACAGGTGTGTGTGTGTGTGTGTGTGTGTGTGTGTGTGTGTGTGTGTGTGTGTGTATTAAAAGCAGATTTAGTAGAACATCGTCACGTTAGTTGATCTTGAACTCATATTAAGTATTGACTTTGTCTGTTGCACCCGTTGCCGCCATCAGTAGTTTTTATTGACTGTTTTGGTATCAAATGATTTTTCTTTTTATAAATATATAGAATTTCTATTTTATTTTTATTTTTGTAATAGAGCACCCATGGTATCTACAGCTTTTATGATTTATCCCCCACTGCTTGGCAGTTTAATGTTCCTTTAATTCTGCTGCTCAGCTCTCAGTCAGACCTCGATCCTTGAACCTTTAAAGTTTTTCTTCTTTGTCGTTGGTGCCTTTTCACAGTGAGAATTTGGTGTGGGAATTTGTAGCATTGTATGGAATAATCAGCGGTAGTTGTGCAGATTTTTATTTCTCTGGTACACGCTCTTACCTACGCTCAGGTGGAGCGCATCAGGATTATTTCCAATCATGTACTCAGGTTTTTGAGCATTTGTTAAACCGGACGCGTCGTGTTGATTAAAGTCCACGGTTGGAGAAAAAGTAGGTGAAATTTACGACAAGAATATAAAAATAATGCATGAGGCCCAGTGTTCTCTGATGTATTTCTCTTTTCCACTCCCTAAGATCAGGATCATCAGTCACATCTCTAAAGCAGCAGCAAATGCCTCCCCTCTCTGTTGTTTTCTCCTAGCTGCTCCTCTTGGATTACATCTTATCCATTTCTCAGTTGTCTCCATTCTTGGCACGGTTTATCCTCTTTTATCCAGCCTTCTCCCTCGTTTCCCGACTGTTTTCTCCTTTTTATCCTAACTGGTCTTGTTTCTGTTTATGCTAAAGCTTTGTCGTAGGAAATCGGCAGAGAACTGCCCAAAGGTAACTCAGCCGTCCTCTGATTCCTTGACTTTTGCCTGCCTTCGTGATGTTGCATGCAGTGACATGGTTCACCTCCTAGAGATTCTCTTCCTCTGATGTCACCTCTCTCCTTTCTGGATCACTCGGTAAATCTGTTGCTGACTGTTTCTCTCCCTCTTCTCGTGTCTCTTTCCATAGAACGAGCTGAATGACACGGGCCGGCCACAGGCCAAATTCCACGTCCTGTTTTTGTTTTTTGTGGCGGCCATGTTCTGCATCAGTATTCTGTCCCTGTTCAGCTACCATCTGTGGCTTGTTGGAAAAAACAGGTCCACAATAGGTAACGCATACACACACTTTGAACAAACCTCTTTTGTTTTATTTTGTGAAGGATCTAAAAAAAAAAGGTCTGTTTAGGAGGATGTTTGTTAATCAAAGTAACACCAAAGTAAAAAAGGCATTACAGGGAAATACAGCGTATTTCCAGATTAAACACCACAACAGTGATATATGTGCGGATAGGCTAATTTTATAGAAGCTTATTGGCTCTCTGACTAACATCTGGGCCTCCTTCCGAGGGTGCTGTCCCATGCTTCTGGAAAACCACTCATTACATAAAAAGTTGTCACAACGACACTGAAACTGCACCGATATACTGAACTTTAAAGAGCATAAAGAAATACGATTAGACGTCTTTAAGTGTACTGAAAAAATTCTGAAATGTATGAAAAAAGTTGACATTTGCAGACTTTATTTCTTAAATATTTTTATTTCCTTATATTATTTATATATATATATATATATATATATATATATATATATATATATATATATATATCTATCCAAAAGAAAGCATGACTTATATGGATTTATGGGCCACACTGTCACCAGCTGATGGATAAACAGCCCTTCAATTCACAAACTTTTGGTATTTAAACTTCCAAAAGTTCATAAATTGGATTCAGTTAGATAGACTCAGTCATTTACTATTCCTGTTATAGAAATAAAAGCAATCTATAGATTGATTGGTTTTTATCTCTCATAGTTGAAGTTTACCTATGATGAAAATTACAGACCTCATTTTTTTAAGTAGGAGAATTTGCACAATCAGTAGCTGACTAAATACGTTTTGCCCCCACTGTAAAACTACTATCTTATTGACATGAGTGATAATAAAAGTAAATTCATTTTCTTTATGTGAGCATTAAATTACGAAAATAAAGTCATAAAATTACAAGAAAAAAGTCACTACGAGAATAAAGTCATTAAGTTGTATTATTACGACTTTATTCTCATGACATTGCGACTTTATTCTCATAATCTTATGACTTTGTTGTCGGGAAAAAAAAAATATCTCTAGCCTGGTGAGTTGATCTCTGGTACAGGTTGTATGATGACCCAGTATTTTATTAATTTATGGCCTCTCTTGTCCCTACAGAGGCATTCAGAGCACCGGTCTTTAGAACAGGCTCTGATAAGAATGGTTTTTCTCTTGGTTTCCGGAAGAACATCGCTCAGGTCTTCGGTGACCAGAAGAAGTACTGGCTGCTGCCAGTCTTCACCAGGTAATAGAGGCATGCATTTTTTTGGAGACAGAAGATGGTGTGAGCCAACAGTTTTTTTTCTGAATAGACAAAGCATTTGGCTGTGTAATGGGACAAATGTTTCTTTGCTGGAATCCACTCCATTTAGAATTTGTAATTGCGTTTGTTAATCTTACATTTTATCCCTGTTTTCTCCAGTCAGGGGGATGGTCTTACCTTTCCCACCCGGCTGGTTAATGCTGATGCAGAGCAGGCCACTGTTACTCTGCATCCTGATGCCAATAAATGGTGATTTTATTTATCTATTTTTTTATGGATAGAAAGCCTCGGTTTTTCTCAGGTCTGACTGCTTTTTTTCCCTCTCTTGTAGCATGCAGGACGTCTCTGTGAGCCCCCTCAGTGAGTCACATAACCGCCTTCTCAGCAGCGAGCAGCACGCCAACAATACTGAAAACCACCTGGCTGATAACCCCCTCAAATCAGGTCTGACCTAGAGGGAATGAAAAATTGGCCGTTTCTCAATATGTGTACTTGTGCGTTTTCATGTGCTTGTGAAATGTCATCAGCCTCAGCCCTAGCACTGTTCCAGTTCACAAAAACACAAGACCGAGTACGGGCAGAGTCCCCGGATGTTGTTCTCACCCCTCCCTCTTTACCGAGCATGCATCAGAGCAGAATTGTCCGTTCTCGAGATTGACAGCTGTCCCAGCTTGCACTGCGGCAGCAGCAGCTTCCAGTGGAGCGCTCACAGAGCTCAGAGTATTAAATTAAAAGTTCGCTTTTCTGTTGCCATTGTTCTACAAAAGCACTTTTTAAGATCATTTGAGACGAAAAAATTTACTGATTTAGTCTGTAATTAAAAAATAAAAAAAAGTTTAGAAGTTGAGAGGATCATGGCAACCAGCGGACGTCCGAGGGTAACCACAGCCAGGGCTAACGTTAGCCTGTCTGCGGCAGCTCACGTTCTCACAAAGTCCGTACTTTCCTGTGTTCTTCTCAAGAACATACTTGGAAATTACACAAGTCCATACTCGCGTTCTTGTGAATTGAGAAACGGTAATTTATTCATTTAGATTTTAGGAGTCATTTTCCTTACTGTGTTCCCTTTGACTTCACAGCTGCAAGTGAAACCATTACAGTCTCCATGGAGAGTGAGTCCTAACCAGGTAAACAAAGCCCGCCACCTCCTCTTACCATTATATTTTCTCTCAATTAACTTGTTAACAGTGTAGATCAGAGGTTTAAATTCAACATGAATTTCATCATTATTTTGGGCTTTTAATGAGTTATTAGAACCATTGTGTTTTAAGGACTGGGTAATGACAAAGTTTAAATTTTTTGTGAATATTCTCTCATCCCCACAGGGTCAAAGTTATTTATACAGACTCTAATATTTAGAATAGAAACATTTAGAATAAGAATATTTGTGTTGAATAATATTTTCTTGTTTGATTTTGATATTTAGCTTATTTTGGAGCTCCTTTAAATTGGTTGTTTTAAAACCAGGTTGTTCCAAAACTTCCACGGTTATCCCCATTTATCGGTGTGTTTGAGATCTTTGTCCTGTTGGAGCAGTGGATTGTTTCCAGTTTGTAATTAAAGTAAAGCGGGGGAATTTGTGTTCCGCCTTGGATTTCATTATTCTGTCCAATACTGCTGCAAGCAAAACAAACCCCCATCATAATAGTGCCACTGCGCTGCTTGACAGATGGTAAATTTTTTAAGGGTGAACTCCTCTGTCTTGTTTTTAGTCTAAACTACAAAACTTGGTCTTTGTCACCTCTGAACATGAAACTATTATGCAGCAGAACGTCTTACATGCCTTTGCATTTTTGTATTTTTAAGCTTTTCGGTTTAGCAGCATCTTTCTCGTTCTAATCCCTGCCGCTTTGTGGGGATGTTAAACTGGCTTAATTGTGGATGGTGACGCTGCTTTCCAGCTGTTTCTCCATTGTACCTGTTTGGGCCTATTCTGGGTAAATGTTCTGCTTCCTTAACAAATTTCCTTTGATATGAGGACGACTTTTTGGGTCAGATGATTGAAACCAGGATTGATTTTTGCAGAACAAGACAGTAACCATAAACACACATCGGAACTGGATGTGGGATGTCTTTAGGCTTTTAGAATAGTCCAACCCTTTACTACGATTAAAATCCATGGATAACTAATTTAAATGAGCTCTAACAGGGAGAGGGATGAATAAAAAGCCAGAATTGGCAGAATCCTATGTCAAGTAGAGAGAATCCATAATTTTAACTCTATGCATCATGGGAGATTAGTAGTTTCACCATTAAGAGCCCAAAGTTACTGACATTTATTTCCTTAATTTCATGTATTTTCATTCTCACTAGTATTCAGGAAAAGTTTGTATTTATTACAGCTAAATAAGAACCTACTTTTTAAACTGTTCTGTCTCTTCTCGGCCACAGGAAAAACACCTCAGTCATCTAAATGCGATGCCTTAAAAAAACACCAAACAGTTTAGTTCATCACCATGGCAACACCTCCCAAACCCATCCAGATAAAACTTTTGGAAAAGCAGTTCGCTGGCACATGGCAGCACAGTAACGCTTTAATATCTTTGGCATATTTTGCATGAAGTGTCGGACGGACGTCTCACTTTCACCATCCGTATGAAACACGCTTTCCTGTCACACTTAGCTGTGATACATTCTTTTTCTATTTTGTTCCCACAACTTCAAGAAGAAGCTCTGCAGGACTCTTTATTGTATTGTTTTTTTTTTTGTGCCAAAAGCCTCCATGGTGCACCAAGGCTGATTTTATAGGTGCCAAGTTGCTGTTAAAAAGTTTTTTACCATCTTTTCTTTCTGCTGTTGTTGAACCAACACATAGAGTGGAGATGGAGCCTTGCTTTCCATTCTGTACATCTCATTTCTACGACATTGATCAAGCTGGAGCGAATTAATTGTTTGCACCTTTTTGTGATGGATGTTTCCTCCACCAAAAACCTGGATTGTTGCAGAGGGCCTCTACTCCACGGCTCAGTGGACTGTGCCTGTCCTCAGCAGACTGAAACTGCACTCGGGGCGTAGAGACGATATTTGAGCACAAGATGGCGCATTTGCACTTTTTCAATTCTGTTTTCTTTTTTTTTATTATTATAGTTTTATCATATCCAAACGATATCCACAGTGTGACAGATGATATTCGTGTTTATGTTTGTTACAGCAGACATGGCATTCAACAAAAACCTTCAAGGGGTTTTGTGGCTAGCTGGTGTTGAATTAAGCTGCTTTAAAAAGAAATTGGAAGTTGATTCACTCGGTGCACTCTGCTCGTGTTTTGGTGGACATCCACCCTTTAAAGCTTCAAACTTTACCACCACATCCATTGCCAAATAAGGGCTGACATGTCAGGAGCTCTGGCATCTGAACCTGAAGTGTTTACAGCATCCTAGCTTTATCCTGCAGGCCAGTGTCATCAAATCACCAGAACGGGATGTTGCTGTGGCAATTAAAAAAAAAAGAAAAAATCCTTTGTAATGTGTTTACTATTATCAGACAGCAGGTGGCGACAATCTGCTTCTTTTTTTATGAGTATTAAGATGGATACAGTTGAAACCAGATGTTTACATACTAATTAAAGATAACGTTAATAAATCAGACCAGAAATCCTGTTTTAGGTAAAATAAGTTCTGTTAAAAGGTTTTAGACAGCCTTCCCCAAACAATAGTTTGTCTATAAAAAACTTTATATAAGGTAGACCTATCTGAGCACAAGCCTTGTCTTCTAGACTTCAGTTTTTAACATATTTTCCATTTGTTATTTTTATCATTTTGTGAAGAACAACAGTCTGTAGCAAAAATATCCAACCATCATGATACCACCACCCCCCTACTTCACTGTAGGGATGAAGCTGATCCCGGATAGCTGCCTCCTATTTTTCCTTCCTTTTTAATGATGGTAATTATGGACAAACACTTGAATCATTTTTAAATGTCTTTGTGCCTGAGCTTTTATTTAGCTCTTTATTCTAGGCTTTTCATTCTGCCCTCAATGTGGGTCATTTGAAAATTAATGAGCTACATTAAATGTATCTTAAATTATTGTTGCATATAGTAAATAGAAATGATTTGTCTGATCTGACCTCAAGCATATGATGTCACATAGAAAGATTGTATGTTTTTTTTTTATGCTGTATATAAATATCTGGTTTTAAATGTAATCATCTGTTCTGAGGTCAGTTTGCTTTCTGTTACTGCCTTTTTTTTTTCTTTGGTTATTTTATATTACCTGAATGTTAACCTTTTTATAAATCGCTTTACTGTGATAAACTATTTGGATCTGAGTCAACTACAGCTGAAGCTCAAATTGTCTCAGTTTATAGAACTGCTTGAACGACCCTGAGCTTATTAGAGACTGTTTAGAGCGTGTTTAAAATGTTATTCATCGGCTTTCTGCAGCCCAGGCTGACCCAGAATCTGTAGAAAGCTGTTAGCAAGATGACGCCCCTCTTCACTGAACGCATCCCACCAAAACACTCGGGTGTTGATGTTTACAGCCTGTTCACATTGAGCTTTGTGCGGTTTATTTTTGTGAGATTTTCCCAAAAAATTCTTACTTAGGGGCCTGTCTTTGCGGGCGGGCTTATTGTTATGCTTTCAAAACCAGTGAACGGGTGGGATTTGTTAACACTTTTACGCTGTGGTTAGATTTCAAAAGTCCTAGACTTTAAGTTACTGTATGGGTTTATGGTCCAAGCCAAGGTTCTGTTCTAATCATGTAAAGCTCATATTTGACCATTTAGAGGTTTTAGGATGTGTAATGTCATTCTTTAAAGCAAAAAACAAAAAAAAATTGCAGCCACCGTCTGAGACATCGGACCTATTGTGTTGTTTTACAGTTCCCTGTATCCTCTGCAAAGAGTGTCAAGGTGTGTGTATTTTGTAGTGCTCCATTGAGTGTCTTCTTTTTTTGTAAAAACTTCTTGTATCGAGAGGAACGCTTCAGTGCTGAAAAGAGATTCTGCTCAAAGCATGACGCCTAACCTCTGTGAAGAGGGGAAAAAGTGTTTTACTATAAAAACTGGGAGGGGGGGTTGTGGTGTGGGTTGAGATATTCCTTTTTTTAATAATTTTTTGCAAGTTCTGTTTTCAATTAGCTTTACTCTTGTCTGTATAAACTGATTAAATGAAGCCATAAAAACTCCTGTGAAAACAAGAAGGATATGATGACTTTGGTTATCTGTAGATTGATACCATGCTACATCTGGCCGCAAAGTGCAGGTTGTAGCCTATCATAACAGCTGATATCTTCTTTTTTATATATATATATATTGCGTCCTGTATTAAAGTATGTGTGTATGTATATTATGTAAGTAAACAAAAAAAATTCATATATTTTTCTTGTCTGTTTACTTTTACTGTTCCTACTTTGTGAATGAGTACATGCTTCTTAATTAACTGGGAATATAACAATAAATGTCTTTTTATAGTAAAAAAAAAAAAGGATCAAACTTTGTGTTTAATTTTCCTGCAGTATTAGAGATGTTTAGCTACAGCAAGATACTATCTTGGAGATTAATGCCTGTTTAATTACAAGGTTTCGGTTTACCCAGCCTGTATGCAGAAACCAGCACAAGCAGGTCAGAACATGCACGTGGAGTTAAGCAAAGATTATTTATGCCCGTAATTGCATTTAAAAAGTAAAACACAGTAAAAACCAATTGGTGTTTATTGATAAATCTGTTGAAAATGATTTGGGTTTTGAAATATGTCACAATCATGGGGAAATATGCTGTGTCTGCCAACAGATGGTCACTGAGGCCATTCAGAAGGGAGGAGATTCAAGGTGGAGAAAGAGCCTTGACTGGACTGTGAAGCAAAATGCTTTTATAATTTTAGAGAGATTGAAAAGGTGTGAACTACAGCTTCTGCATCTTGTGTCCTGCCACCCATGAACATATCAAAAAGAATCTTACCCGAGATAAAGCAGAACAGAAACCAGCCTAAAGCCCTAATTTCTGATGTAAATGACTCAGTTTAATGTCTTCTGTATTTCTGCACGGGATTGTCTCATCATAACAGCCCCAAAGCAATCTACAGTCTTGTCTAAACAGATGACTCTTCATCTGTTCCATAGACTGCTGCTTTTAACCTGTTCTAGCTTGCAACTCTCAATCTTTTACAAGCTCACTGCTCATATGATGGCTGCTGGTTCTACAATTAAGTTGATTTTTATCTTCACATTCAATCCACTGCTTGATGACATATTTAATAGACGGATAAAACTCAAGAAAAAGAATGTTTGAAGTTGCTTTAATTAGAACGACAGAGGCATGGGGTTATGTGCCCAGAGGTGGGCAGAGTACCCAAATATTCTACTCAAGTATAACTATCATGACTCCATTATACTTTACTTGAGTAATAGTAAAAAGTAGCCTTTGAAAAAATTACTTAAGGATGATAAAAAATGCATTTGGTAGAAGAAAACTACTGAGTAACTGATCTACTTACTACCCATGATCATAATAACTGATTTAATATTTTACCCAATCATGTAAAATTTAACAAAACATTTTGATATGAAAATTAAACCTGGAGAGACTCGCAATAAAAATAGTTGCAAGTAGAAAATGTCAAAGTTAGTTATACAGGTAACACAATCATATCCTTCAAAATATTTCTAACTAAGGAAGACCAGCTGATTACGAGGACTCGTTGACTCTCTGCAATCACATGCACTAAGCATGCTTGTAGCGACAGGGGAGAGAAAAACTCCCTTTTAACAGGAAGAAACCTCCAGCAGAACCAGGCTCAGCGTGAGCGGCCATCTGCCGAGGCTGACTGGAGTTCAAGGAGACAGAAGCAGATGTAGACATAAACAAAATAAGTTATTTGGTGCTCGGGGCCCCGGCAGAATGCTTGAATGAGTAACCTAGGGAAAGGATTAGAGAAGTCTTGCCCTGGGGCCCGGACACTGGTGGTGGAATAAACCAGAGGATGAGAGGGTCTGAGAATGAGGGAGGTTGCAGGGTGAAGGTGAGTGAAAGTTCGCTTGCGTGCTGGAGACAGAAGCTCAGCCAGGAGTTTAGTGAAGGGAATCTTGCAAGACGATTGGCTTCAGAGAAGGGTGGCCCCCCAGAATTGATTGGCTGGAGCTGAATGAGGGACATCGCAGGTGGTTCAGGTGAAGCTGATAAGAATCTTCCAAGTTGCATCTATGCTTAAATGAGAACACCATTTTTTTTTTTTACGTTGGGCCCTTGATTTTACATTATTACATCATGTTCTACTCACCCATATTAGTTTTGTGTCATTTGGAGCTGTTCTGAAGATATTGGGTTAGGTTTTATCCAAGTAACATCTTCCTTTGGACAACAAGTTGAAGGCACAAACTAAACTGTTTAGAATTTATTTGTTATGGTAGGCCAGCATTCATAACATGTAGGCGAATCACTGTCCCCCAGACATCCGCATAAAATCAAGGGCCCAATGTAAAAAAAAAAAAAGGTTTTCCCCTTTAAGCTTAATTTCTGTGTTTCAAATAATAAGAAATAGATGTATGACTTACAGTAATTACGCAATAAAAGTTTTAGGTGGAAATAATCTTCAAAATAAATTTTTTTATTTATGCAACTTATATAAAATCAATATTTACAGCATTTAAAAATGCATTAAATTACAATATAGTGTTTACTGTATTTTCACTATCTCCAGCAGAATAAGGTTATAGAGTAGCCACAAATTTGACTGAAGTAACGTTTAACAGAAGTGATGTTTTATCCTGTTTTTACTCAATTAAAATGTAAAAAGTACTCCTAAAACTGCCTTTTCCTCTCAAAAGGGTACTAAGGTAAATGTAAATAAAATAGGTAAAATAAGTAAATGTAAATAATTACTACCCATTTCTGGATATGTCTACAGTAATATGCCACCTCCTTTGATTTTTGTAAACTAATTAACATCTCAATTTTCCACCTTAAAAACTTACAACACAGGGAAACGGTTTTGGAAACTTTAAAATAAACATATGATACACAATTTTTGTTTAACATTTTGTTCAATCCTACTGTTAATGTATATAAAAAAATAATATAATCTGTTATTACATATCACTAAAAGTAGTGTTTCACATCATGGATTTTAATCCTGTTTTGGTAATTTGGCCTCCAGTGAATAATAATACAGATGCCGATATGTATCCCAGTGGATATGCTTTGCATCATGATAATGCACTGTGCAGCATTACACAGACCTTAGAGATGGATGCAACTTTTGTCTTCTGTTGTTACAGTTTTGAGATCTCTTTGGGATTTTCCAGCATATTTGAGAATATGTGAACATTTTATAATTTAGATTACACAACTGATGCAACATCCTTTTAGGACAGGGCTTCAATTAGGAGATTTAAAGCCGTCTGTAAAATACCTGTACAGGGCATCTTCATATATTGAATAAACAGGAACACATGGACATGCCACACATTTCACTTAATTACATTATAAACAACTTTGTATTGGTTTAGCCATTGAAATCTCAATGTCAACCTTCAATGGGCTTAAATAAGTTTGCACATTTTAATAGGAAATAAAAAGAGATTATGTGAAGCTCACTTTGAAGGTGAAAGCAGTTTTTTCTCTTCTGCTGTTTTCCCCCCAAATATTCATTTCTCAAAGAAGCAATGCTACCTTTAATTTAAAAAATGCCACATTACACATGTAGATTTGAATGTGTGCAGCGTTGACACCTCAGTTTTCCTGGAAGCAGTTGGTTTCCTCCATGCAAGCTGCAGTCTGCAACATGAGATTAGATCATCACATTAGCACAGGATGCGGCGATAAAGTGTGGCAAAAACCATGCCAAGACCGCGAGTACCCCGTGTTAACAGACAAGAAGTTAAATCAAAGTCAGAGCTGCGTAAATGACTTAGATGAATTAAGTATGCTGTAATTATCTCACATCGTTTTTAATGTGATGTAGTAAAAACAGGGAGATTTGGTGGGTAGCCTTGTTCTGTCAGCAGGCGACACTGATTAGGGACAGTAAACACAACTCTGGTTCCAACTCGTCAACATTCAGTGCACTCAAAATCACGGAGCCAGTTGATCATTGACCTCTTCTATCTGAGTGGCACCCAGGCCCTTGACACCCACCGCAGAGAGACGCCACTGCCGACCGCCCACTCTTACCAACACGCCACCCATCCTACTTTTGATTCAAATGCATATATCTGAAGAGAAATAGCTGCAAACGAAGCAGGGAATTATGGGTCGAAACGGAAGAAATGTACATCTGTTCTGCAGGGCTCATTGTTTGAAAGTTCCCAACAGGAGGATTTTATCCTCGATGATGATGACTGTAAACACCTACTTCACTTAACTGTTGTCGCACAGAGAGAACTAAAACAAAAAGACAAAAATTGTTCTTTGTTTGTAAAAGAAAAACAAGAACCACAACTAAACAAAGTGCACTATTTTGTATTCTACCTACTTGTGCCTCTGTTTGCTACAGACCTCACAAGGTAATGAACTCTAGGTCAGTTTTACAGTTCGACACTGAACCGATCTGCTAAAGAAGGGAAAAAAAGAGCTAAACCTAAAGTGGCCTCAGTATCTTTACATTGGTTATCCATTATAGGAAATGCTATTAAACAGTGATCCTGGAAAGGCTTTTAGATTCCCTGTAGGAACGACTGGCAGCATTCCAGTAATCTATGCAATACTCTCTGGAGCTTTGCTTCTGATTTTGTTCTTGACACAATGAACTACAAAAAAGGAATATCTGGCATCCAGATGTGAATGCAGCTTTGTGAAAGAACTGACCGTATCAGATATTTCTAAACACAAGGCCTCTAACACAATAACTTCAGAATTGCAAATCAGACCCAGGAGCCTCAGCTTTGTTAGAGAAGAGACTTGGAACTCCTCTTCTTAATGTTCTCTCATTTCAGACCAGTCCAGACTAATTATTTTAAATACCTTACAAATATGAGATTGAGAACAAGGTGTGTGTCAAGAAATCCTACTCAGTAGCGGGGTTGTGAAACTCTTCTCCATCAAATGTATAAAACTTTGTAAAAGAAAAGTATTATATCACGTGCTGAGATTCGCCCTCACTTGTCAAAAACTTGTCTGTTTTTGTGCTGGCTAAGCATGTCCCTGGGATGAGCCTGACAGCTCAAGGATAATGGAAGGTTTTCTTGAACAAATAGGCAAGTCTTATAAACAAGCAAAAAAAAAAAAAAAAAAGATATTTAATACAGGGGGCTGAGACTGTGTTCCAACACATTAGACTTTGAAAGTTCAAGTTGAGGATATACAGAAACTTGCAAAAGTTTCTGTATGTCCTGGTTCATTTCAGTGTATTTTAATTAGGTTGTATGTGAGACACCAACTCTGCATAATGCATGTTTTAAAAAATCTCAGAAGAGTTTCATGGATTCATATTTAACTCCTTTCCAAGATACCCCAAAATAC